ATTTAAGGCCGGCGCGCCCGGGGACCGCCCTCTTTGCCCCATTCCAGCTGCCCGGTTTTCCCATAGAATCATAGAATCATAGAGTTGGAAGAGACCACAAGGGCCATCGAGTCCAACCCCCTGCCAAGCAGGAAACACCATCAGAGCACTCCTGACATATGGTTGTCAAGCCTCTGCTTAAAGACCTCCAAAGAAGGAGACTCCACCACACTGCTTGGCAGCAAATTCCACTGTCGAACAGCTCTTACTGTCAGGAAGTTCTTCCTAATGTTTAGGTGGAATCTTCTTTCTTGTAGTTTGGATCCATTGCTCCGTGTCCGCTTCTTTGGAGCAGCAGAAAACAACCTTTCTCTGTTGGGTTGAAATTCACGACAGACGAGTGTCAGGTGTCATATGAGAGGCGTCTGCCGGGGCGAGCCCCGGGAACTCTCTTTTATTGAATATTACAAACATTGCCACAGGTGTGCTTGTGGCTGATTGGTTGATACAAACACAAAGCATCTTGTTACTGATTGGTTAACATAGGTACAAGGCGGGAATTACATATGACCATTTATCACTGATAGATCAAAGGCTGAGAAACGGAGCTGGAACTAGACAGGCATGAAACCTCCTAATTAAATTATAACTAAAGATTGATATTGAAAGAACATAACATGAAAGAATACAACAATCACGTTCCGTAGATGTGGTCAGCAATGCATTAGGAACAGGTCAGGATACACTGTTTCATGAACTCAATGGGAACTGTTCAGAACATTCTCAGACTCATGTGCAGAGGCAAAAACTTCCCAGAATGCAAGAGAAAAGAAGCAGTAGTTCTCATAGCAAGACTTAATGCCACAGTTATGTGCAGAAAGAGAACTGCAGAAAGGGAACTTCCCTTTATTTCTCCCTCCTCTATGTGACATCCTTTTATATATTTGAACATGGCTATCATATCACCCCTTAACCTCCTCTTCTCCAGGCTAAACATGCCCAGCTCCCTTAGCCGTTCCTCATAAGGCATCGTTTCCAGGCCTTTGACCATTTTGGTTGCCCTCCTCTGGACACGTTCCAGTTTGTCAGTGTCCTTCTTGAACTGTGGTGCCCAGAACTGGACACAGTACTCCAGGTGAGGTCTGACCAGAGCAGAATACAGTGGCACTATTACTTCCCTTGATCTAGATGCTATACTCCTATTGATGCAGCCCAGAATTGCATTGGCTCTTTTAGCTGCTGCGTCACACTGTTGGCTCATGTCAAGTTTGTGGTCAACCAAGACTCCTAGATCCTTTTCACATGTACTGCTCTCAAGCCAGGTGTCACCCATCTTGCATTTGTGCCTCTCATTTTTTTTGCCCAAGTGCAATACTTTACATTTCTCCCTGTTAAAATTCAAACAAACAAACAAAAATTGTTTGTTTTTGCCCAGTTCTCTAATCTGTCAAGGTTGTTTTGAAGTGTGATTCTGTCCCACCTACCCTTTAGGCTTAGCTAGCTTTGACCTTGCTATGGACTCCGGTTGGGTGCCGCAAGGGGCCTGGTAAGAATTTTTCCACTTGGCGCACTTCCAGCCATTTGGTTTTTTCGCCTACCTCGTAGCAAACATCACAACTTCCTCGATAGGCATTGGCAGGGGTAATTGTTATGCAAATGAAGGGGGGAAGGAAGCGCCATCACCTTCCCCCAAGGAAAAGGGTAGTCCGGTAGAGGACTCCGGGGGGCATTGCCCTGTCCGAAACCTAGGGAGGTGAGGGCCTACGGCACGCCCCCGAGCAGTGTCACCCGGGGGATCCTAGTTGGCGTACTTCAATGGGACTCCCCCGGCTGGTGGTTAACCCTTCCCGGTCTCCATGCCGGGTAGTCGATAGGAGCCAATGCCTAAGGCCAATACCTTCCAATTCCTGTAATCAATAAAGTTGTGACCTTTTTACGCCCATTAACCTTAAATAATGTGGCCGGTGTCTTTATTTCACATGGGGGGAGGGGACTTGCCACGCAACAGCACTTGGACACCACTTTGCCCAACTTTGTGGCTGCTCACATGTTGTCCCAGTATCCAGACCTTTGCTCTATACTTTCAAGTAAGCCGTGGCTGTGGTGAGCCAAGTAAAAACATATAATCACTTTATTAAATTTATGGGTATTAATCTGATTTGCATAGTTAGAACCAGATTTGTAATAAACTATGCAAATCAGATTAATACCCATAAATTTCTATTGGTTCTATTTTGGTTACAGAATATAGGGATTACACATTGTGCTGTTAATATCTTTTATCAATCCTGGCCGTTTATTTCTAAGGATATATCACAGACACACCAATGCATCATTCTGGATATGATCCAATATATAGCATTTTTAAAATCTGCTTGATTTCAATGGGCAAGTTAACGTTCTCTAAAATCTCTTCCCCACTGGACTCAATGGACTTACAAGTGCTGTACTTTGGACTGTGCCTTCAGATGTTGTAATATTGTGAGGCATTTCTTTGTCAGACAGATTGCAGGTTGATAGTCCAGAATGCTCTTTGATGTCTCTTGAAGGGAGATAATGGTTAAGAGATACCTGGAGATCTGCCTTGACAGGTAGCTGTCAGCAGCATGGAGAGAGAGAGCGCGCCAAGAGAGGGAGGGAGGGAATGGGTGGGAGAGGGAGCTCTGAGTCACTTGAAGGTGTATAGGAGTGCAGGGTTGCATCAAACTCTCTCTGGGAGTTTGATGTGAAGTAGTGGATCCAGCAATGCAGTTAGATAATTTTAGACTCTGGTCCACATAACTTGGTGGGGGATTATTTTTGGGTAGATCTACATTGCAAACTTCAAAGCAGCAGATTTCAGTGCACATAATACCCTGTTGGATTGTGGCCTCGGACTGGGTTTGATAGTCGATTCCTCTCCCCAGAGAACACAAGGATCTGCAGTTTGGCAGGCTGTGAGTTTTTAAAAGCCTGCCTCACCAAACTGCAATTACAGGATCTCTGGGGAAAGCCAGTACCATTGACGTGGCATGCAACGGATGGCTACAGCATCTATATTTTGATAGCAAGCCCATGTTTTCTAATTCTTGAAAAGTGCCTAGCAAATTTAGATGAAATCATATATATGTGGTTTAATAATCAACCCCTCTTCACAAGGAACTGCGAAATGTAGCTCTGGGAGAGGGAGAGGGGTTTCCTAACTGCTTTTTGCACCGTTTGCAAACTGCAGCTCTCATAATTCTTTGGGTGAAGACGTGACTGTTTAAAGTGCTATTGTAGGGCTTTAAATGTATGGGGTGAATGTGGGCTAGGTGATCCAACAGGGTTCTTACATTTTTAGGTACACCTCTGTCTACGATGGCATCATTAGAGTTAAGTCTGTGGTAGCTAATACTACACACTCTTACAGCAACTCACTGAATGATAATGACTGCTTACCTGGTCACAGGGTGGACGGCTGTTGTGGCCCATCACACCAAGCTCCTTCCCCTCAGGTGCATTGCCAGGGCTAGGTGGTCAGCCATTGGGGAATTCCCAGGCCAGTCACGGGCTTTCCTGCCATCTGTTGATTTGAATCCTAGCCGGGCCATGTAGGCAGGGCTTTGGACCTGATAAAGGTGGGTTGTCCAACACTGTCTTACACCAACTCACTGACTGATAACAGCATCTTCTCCCTGCTCCCACCCAGAGCCCTTCATCCCCCCAAATATGAGTTTCCATATGGGCTTTGGACGTGATGAATCTTTTCCCCCGCCATTCCTATGGGCACAGCAAAAAGCTCTTTTTCTGTTAAAATTTCCACATTGGAAGTGGAATTAACTAAGGCAAGCCTTACACCTCATTTGAAGCCAAAGAGGCGCATGTCACAAATAATTCTGATCAGACTGCAAATGAGGAAAATGCCTTCATCTTTATATATTCATTGCTGGTATACAGGCTATGACTATGTAACCAAAACAGTAAAATGTATCAAAAGGAGAGCACTACAAAGCGGAAACAAAGAGAATGGCAACAGGGAAGAGAGACCAATTTATTAATGTGGTTCAAATAAATCACAGTGCATTTCAAGCAGTGAGCTCTTTGTGAGGGGTCTATCAGGAAAAGGAATTGTTCATCTCTATTCCAGTGTCTTGGATGATTTGCTCCAAGAAGCTAATAAACATTGAATCCTATAATGGTACAAAGGATTTGGGAGGTTATCAAAGAAATTGTGATGGATGTGAGCTAGTCTTTTTTTTCTTATAGACTCTCCAGTAAACAAAAAATTGCACAAACTACTTTGAGACTTTTACCACATGAATTAGTAAATTGGTCCTTTGCATCAGCTGGTTTTTAAAAAACAACAACAATGGCAGTAGCATAAACATAATTGTACAGTGGTTGGGGAGGAGGGCACATAAATATTTCCAAAATCAAATCACACGTAAACCTAATTTTATGGAAGATTGAGAACATGTATTGGAAGAAGATGGGCTAGTGTGTGATTTTAATGACACAGTCAGTGGATTGATTTTATACGTGCCATTTAATGGCATTCAGGGGAATAAATCAAAGTCACAGTGGAAAATATCCTTACAGTCAAACCATCCAAGTACTCCATTGAAAAGTTTGAAAGATTACTCCAGACTTAATTTTGAAGTAGACAATAGTACATATTTTGTAACTGCTGTATCTTCTGTCTGCCATTCACTTTACTTCTTGGGTAAAGGAAAGTAATTAATCTGTTTTCTGTTGTTTATGGCAACAGAACCCAGATTTGCCACAGCAAACTTCAAGTATGGTGGGAAATTTTCTGTCAGAACAAGAAGCAACCTATGGGAAACTAAATTAGCATTTTATAGAGTCATAATACATGTTCACATATGCTAAAGAATAGAGACATATTTCTGGTATGTTTGTTTTTTCAAGTAGCATACAATGCACAAGTTCAAATATCTCTCATCATTCATTTTTCACAGTACTGTTTCATTCTTATCACAAAGAATCATCAGAAGATGATTGTTCTAGTGGCACAAAGCATCTTTCTGTTCCTTCAGGTGTCAAGAAGTCCTCCACCATCCCCACAGATGCCTAAAAACAAATGAAAACAACAACACACTTGTGGCTAAAACCCACTGTGGCAAGTATTTGGCTGAAGCACCCCACCAAACTGTTCTCTACTTTTTTATTAAAGAGTAGCCTCAAATGTTGTGGGGAAAGAGTAATTTGCTCTCCCATCTTCTCACTATTCCATGTTGATTTAGCACTAGACAATCTACAAGGGAGAAATTGTCAACTGTTCATTTATCTAAGCTAGAAAGACTCAAATTTAGAAAATATTTTACCCTTGCCGGATTCAATGCCCCTCCCATATTCAGAACGAATGTGCCCATGCAGTTGGAAGGAAGTTGAAACTGTTATTCATGTCCTACTATACTGCCATTATTACAGAGATATACTTTCAGTATTTATCACCCCAATCATGCAACGAATCCCAAGCAGATCTGATGACCACAACTTAAAATATCTAATAGAGAACAGGGAACCAGAGATTACCTCAAAAGTGGCTAAATTCTGTGCTGCTGCTGCTGTTGCTATACAATTAAGGAGAAAAGCCCTGAATGAATCCAAAGGTCAATGTCTTAGCACACATATTTTAAATTAGCGGTTAAGGTTTTAGCCTACATATTTCGATTGTTTTATATCTGTACTATTTACCGTGTTCTAGCTTATAGAGTTTAATTTTAACCTATTTACCTGTTCTCTATTGCCGTATATGTCTGTGTTTCTGGTCTGTGTTCATAATAAATCAATTATTTCATTCATTTACTTCATAGGATATGAAGCAATGTTCTGTGGAGAAGCAATGTTCTGTGTCTATTATGGTCTCCAAGACTGTTCCACAATGTTCCTGTCATGATGCCATCTATACAGAAAGTCCTCCTCATAATGAGAGCATGTTTGGGAGATGGGCTCTTAGGGCTCCTCCACACTTACCTTTTGCCCCACACCAACTCTATCCCCCCCCCCAAAGTATGTTGGGTGGAGTTGAGCCCCCCCCCCATCTTGAGGGGCTTGGTCTTGCCAGGCCTTCCTGCGATGGTGGCGGGCTTGCCGGGCCTTTCCATAGCGGTGGCGTGCCTCATTGTCCCCCCTTCACAGTGATGGTGGGTCTCATCAGGACTCGCAGGCTCCTCCTGACATGCATGACACCACACATGTGCATCACATGTGTGATGTCACATGCTGAGCTTTCCACCCCCACCCCCACCCCTCTGGGCAGAACTCAGTGTCTCTGCTTTCTAGGCAAAGATCTGCGCTTTCAAGCTCTGTGTTGGACAGCTCCCCTGCCCCCGCTGATTTCCACAGCTGAATCGGAACAAACAGCAAATTTGGGTTTTCTGTGGGTTGTCATTTGCTCTGATTCAATGGTAAGAGTAGGTAAGAGTGGGATTCAATGGGGAAAGCGCTGGGGCAAAAAAAAAAGTGTTTTTTTTTTGAGCTTTAAAGTGCAGACTGTGCTTAGAAACATGGCACAAAGGGAAGCCTGGAGGAGGCCAAGGGTGTTCATCTTCTACAAGTGCTAGTTCCTACCTGGGTTGGAGCTGACAAAGTCTTCAGGAGCTTTTTTGTTAGCAGGGACTTTTCTGCAATGCACCTCTTCTCTATCTAGTATGTCCCCTGAGCCACTGGATGGGGGGATTGCATGTGACCCCAATGAAAACTACTTTGGACATCTCAAAGATAGAGTGGAGGATAAAGAAATTTAACAGCAGCAGCAACAGCAGCAATAATAACAACATTCGAGCTTACATATGTTGATTTAGGGAGTGAATAGAAATATAAGAATATTCCTCTGTAGTCCATTCCAACTCTAATATCCTAATCTAGTCCCAGTTTCAGTGAAGATACAGGATTTATGCATAACCCATTGCACCAAAATATGGCTGGAGATGTGTGTTTCAAATGTGTGGGCTACTGAAAGCAATTCAGTGTAGACAGGCAGTATCCATACATGCAAGCATATTCATTCCAATGCACATCTGGATATGCATCTGATTCATTCCTCTAGTTCTTGCTTAGGTTCATGGGTAGGTTGGGCTATGTGTGATTCTATATTATGGAGAGTTGGTAACAAGAGCTAAGCCAGCTGGGTATATTGTGTGCAGGTAAATATTGACTTAGTCACACATTTTGCCTTCAGTTCAGCAGATAACATCACACAGCACCCAAGAAGTTGCTCCTTTGGGGACTGAATAGTCTCGTTATTAATCTGTGCCTTGCCGCTAATTAATGCCATTTAAATACGCTTCTGAGCACTAAGGGCAAGGGGGGGAGAGATGATCCAGTTCTGACTTCACGCAATTAGACACCCTCCTTCAATTATGCCTCCCAGACAGACTTTGATTCTCAGGCTCCTCACAGCCTTTCAAATTCCCTAATCTATAATGAAGGAGACTGACGCCAGCTCCCAAAATGAGAATCATAATAAAAGGAGCACCCTCATTTATAAACTGTCTTATTATGCAAATATCTCCAAGGCATGGTACAATTTAAAGGAATCTGAACGCGCACTTTCACTGGGAGCAAAATTGGAAATCGTCTTAAAAGTTTAACACATTAAAAAATATTTAGTAAGGGCATTTCTTTAACTGTCTCCCGGCTAATTACTTTTAATAATTAACAGCCTATAAAAGAGACTAATTAACCTTGTATCCCACTATTATCTGCTGCTAATTGCCTTAATATTTTATTGCCAATAACCTCTAGGATAGCCATATTTCAATGATTTTAAAATAACACCACTGTGGTTTGATTTGGGTTTTTTAACTTTTGACATAACAAATTCCATTATTCTTGCAGGAAAATGAGCTGTTCATATCCTTCTGCATTTCCCTTTTCCGATGTCATCAAGGCAGAGCAGGCTTAGCTTTTCTCTTCATGGTACTGAATAACAGCACATGTTTTTCTCCATCCTTACAAAATCCCTTCATTGACTATTAGTGACTAACAAATGGATGAATGGAAGTTTGGCTAGAAAAAATCTTTTGGTGACCATCCTCTGACGGCTTTTTTTTTCCCCCGCTTACCAAAGGCTCTCACACCAGTTGTCCCAGAGAGAGCTACTGTTTGTTCACCTCACAACTGTAGAGGAATCAGTTATGTTGGTATAAGGCCTTTCAAAGGGTCATCACCACAGATTGTCACAAACAGTGATTGTTTGCTACAGTTTGGGTGGCTGGCACTCAAAAGTGTATGGCTGATTCTTCATAGCACAAGTCCCTTGACTGAATACATCATGCATGCTCTCCTCACAATCCCTAACATGGCACATGTCCCTATGTAGGTGTAACTCAAAGTAAACTCCACAGAGTTCAAGGGGACTTATTTCCAGATAAGTGTCCAGAAGACTGCAGCCTTGCTTAATGTTTTTGTGCACATGTGCACAGTGTAAATATAATGTAAGGGGGATTCCATAACCAATTTGTGGCAGGTAGTATAAAGAACAGAGCCATATCTGGCTTCAGTCCTCAAGATTTGTTAAAAAATAAAATATTATAGAACTCAGATTTATGTGGAAGCACGGTCTTCTGATCTGGGGACCTTTTTTCCAATGCCTGATGTGCGGGGACTCTACATTTACTCAGTAATGAGAGAAATGCAGTTGTTCAGGGTCATTCTCATCTGCTCTTGCTGAATGCACTCCATAGTTAAGCCCTAGGTTACTCTGACTCTGAGTGAGCTCAGGCACAATTTAAGCATCGCCTAGTTTAGAACGTTCAGACTCACCGCTGGCTTTTCTCACTAAACTTCTGCCTCTGTAATGCACTTGTGATTGTCTGCTCAGCATCCTGAGAAACACAAAATGAGACAGATTCTTTACTCGAAACAAATTGGTTGATATAATATACATCCACGCGATTCACAGATGACTGATACAGATATATAATGTTTATTCATAGCTATTTGTTTACATATAGAACTTATAGATATTTATATGTGTGACTTAATGATGCTGACGTACATATACTGATGAAATGAGTGCCCCATATATAGGTCTATATATGTAAATGTTGGTGGTATCAGCTCTGCACATGGCACAGCGCGGGAATTCTAAGAAACCAAAAAAGTTTTGAACTCAGTGGTTAAAATCAGTGCAGTATTGGAAAGTTCAGTTTGCCATCTTGATTCAAAATGGCACCCAACTTTATCTAAACATAGATAGAAATCTGTTTTGTTTGTTTGTTTCTTGTTTCAGGAACTATCATGCTAGTTAGGTGTTGTCCAAATGCATAGTGGGCAGAAAATATATAGCAGACTTGTGAAAAGTACCCGGCCTGAAATTTATAAGTGGATAATGTAATTATCCTAGTGAGAAAGCGCAGCATGGGCTGACTGAAAGCCCTTTTGCAAAAAGTCCCACACTGCTCTTTGTAGAGTCTGCCTGCCTCTCCTTCTTCCTGTCCTGACAAAACCCCAGATTGCTGCAGTGTGGTCTGGAATATTTCAGTCCACCATCCTGATTCAAAATGGCACCCAGTAGTGTCCAAACATGGGCCAAAACCCACTCCTCCATCTTGGGATCGGTCACATCAAACAATGATATCTCACGAGATATCTGAACCCATAAAGAACAGACAGACAGATAAACCATTTTCCAAAACATTTAGTAGCCGTAGGGCAAGTACCTTTTCTAATGATGCAGTTTTTGATGTATTGAATGGATGTATTTGACTAAAAATGAATCAAACTTACTCCTATTTGTTTCTTAAGAAACTTGTTAGATGCCTGGAGCTTTGATGCTTCACCCTGTAAAAAATCATAAATATGTACCTTCTTAAATGTCTTGCTATCTTTTTTGATCAGCAAAGACTGTAATATTTTGCTAAAGTCATAATCCTATATAATAAGAATGTCAAAAAGTAAAGAGCAGCACTACAAATTCAATATTAGAGGCCCCCCCCATTTTTAATACTTTCAAACCATTTTTATACTTGCAAGCTTCCTGTAAGTTTGTCCAGAATCCCTTACACTTTTTTTTAAAAAACCACCTTCCGGAGTGTGGGGGGGTGCTGCTAAGCTCTGTCTGAACTGGTAGTAGCATCATGCTTGGTATTGCACAAGAGGCAAATAAAATGTTGAGGGGCAGTTTGTCACTGTTCAAATAACATAACAGGAAGCTCATGTTTTCCACCTACATACATTGCTATCTGCTCAGATATATGTAAAATGTGTGTAAAAAAAACAAAACAATAAAAAGAGATGATCATCCCCTTTCCTTAGTCATGGATTCATTCACTGTTCCTAGCCATTGTTCCTTTTCTAGAATGCCCTGAAATATTGACACAGTTCATTTTGTTTGTGAGTTTCTCCCTCCAGTGAGAAGATTGTAAACTTTTGCTTCACTTTTGATTCTGATTTCAGCTAGCCACAGTTTAGCAATACATCCAAACCCTAAGCTGTGGTTAACCTTAACCAAGGTACGCTTGGTAGGGCCATGGGAGAGGGCCTTCTTGGTGGCTGCTCCCAGACTTTGGCACTCCTTTCCAAGAAAAGTTATACTGGCTCTCTCCTTGTTATTTTCTGGCAAGTGAAGACTTTCTTGTTCAAACAGGCTTTGGGGAACTGGCTGTTTCTTAAAGAAAGGACTCATGCTGTGGTGTTCTTATTTTAACAATCTGCATGTTTTAGTGGATGTGTGTGTGTTTAATTGCATACTCTCCAACTTGTTGCTGCTGGAAATCAGGATGTGTGTCTTCCCAGCTGCGCTCCTGCGTGAGTCATGTGACCTGTGTGAGCTCACAGAGCCCCCAAACACATGTTTTCAGGCAAAACTTGCAAGATCACAACCTTGCACGGAATCACGGAGCCCAGAAACATAAAACTAAGGCATACCACCTTCAACAGAATGGAGCATGGTGATATCCCCATCTACCTTTTCATTATACCCTTGGATCTTACCTCTAATTCTTTTACGGTCTTTTCTCGGATGTTGGCGATGCCAGCAACCGCCATCGTTTCTTTAATTTCTTTTTGCATTGCTTGGATTTCCTCCCATGTCGTGATAACCTGGCACCGCAAGGATGCAAGTAGCTCTGCGTTGGAAAGGACAGGAGTCTGTGCTTTGGACGCCTCCTCCCGTTCCTTTTCTGCAGGTGCAAAAACATGATGGTGGTTTGGAATGGAGCATTGCAGCTGCAACCTTGCAATCCAAGGTCAAAATCCAAACAGGTTGAGGAGATAAAAGGAGTGAAGTAGCTTTTCCCTCAGCAGGATGTCTCTCTCAGCAGCCTGACACTGTAGAGAACTATGGCACAATATTAGTCAAACTCAGAGTGCGACATTGGACAACGCCCACTGATTTTACATCAGTCCCATTGTTCAAAGCAAAGCTACCACTCACCTGTCATTTTTCATAAGACTGGCTCATCCACAGCTCCATTTCCAATTCATTTCTTAATCTGAAATGTAAAAAGAAGGAAAACGAAACCTCTAATGCATTCCAGACCAGCAGCGGCAGTGTTTTAAGACTTGCACAATATACGCCAGACCCAAGCAAAAGTGGAAGAGCTGATCCTGTTGAATGTGTCTACATGAGGATTACTCCAAATGCAAAATGACTCCAAATGTGCTCTGTGTGTTTGCTCACCCACCATTTGATTAGCTGCATGAATGAAAGGCAGAAGCCCTTGGATAGCAATCAGATTCTCCTGATTGCCCTTTTCTCAAATATAAACAACAAGGGCGATATTCTCCAGTCATTTCCATGTTTACCTTTTGTGGGTATTGTATTTTGTGGGTGTCAGGCGTAAGCCATAAGGCAGGATATCAGTGAATGAATGAATGAATGAATGACAAACAAAACAAAGGGGGGGAAGCACTCCTTGCAAAGGCTGACGTTATTATAAGTGTACATCAAACTAGGTTGGCTTCACTCAGCCCTACAAATTGCAGGTGCTCATTTCTGGGGTTAGCAACATACATAGTTTTTCCCCAGTTCTATCGTATGGGACAATTTGTAAATCCACATGTACAGCTCTGAACATTTGTCAATGCCAGATAGTAAAGTGAGTTCCTTGATTCATCAGGGATGTGTCTACACAATCATTTTAAGAGCCCTATGAGATTTTAGTGGAGGCAACCAAGAAGTCTCCTTCAAGGTTTCAAAGTTACTTTTAATAATATACTGTTGATATCATTCTGAGGGCATGAATATTCATGGATATAACAGAGAAGCAGAAAGCATGACAGACTTTGTTCACATCCTGCTTTTACTGGGAAAACAGCCAATAAGTTCCAGGACTTTTGGCAAGAGATTAAGCCTGCAAGTCCATAACATTGTTATTAGAGAACAAGTCCTGTTGAACTGAATGCAACTGGGAGTAAGTAATTTTGGAACTGCACTGCACAAATGTACTTAGATCCCATTGGCATGAATTAGGGTTAAGCTGCCTAACTGTGTGCAGGCTTGGAGCCTAAGACACCACATATATTCACAGCTGAAAAAAATTGTTCTGTGCCAAGTGGATTATGATGTGATAAGTAAGAAAGTAAGATGGGTGAGACTTTTTGAGTCACAGAAGAAAGACAGAAACAGGAGCAACCACCCAAAACACCTCTCTGTCTGTACCAGTTACTTATTTCTGCCCCATTAATAGCATTATTGAAGGAAAATAGTGGAACATTCAGAAGGTGTGGAACTCTGGATATAAGCAAATCTGTCCATTTTGGTTTCTCTGTTTTTCATTTTTCCACCCTTAAATTCAGTTCTGCACATTTCCACATCAGTTTCTGATTATTTTTAATAATAATAAGGTCCTCTTGAAAATTAAGCAGCATTTTCATGCAAATGTCTCCTCACAGACACAATTCTGTGTATTTTTGCCTAGCCATGGCCCCTTACTACATGTATTTTTATATGCTAGTTTCACCAATCCATTTACCCTAGTATATGCATATTACAACACATTGTGTGGCTGAAGAACCGCATCGCAAAATTCAGAGAAGTGCAAATTTCAAAAGTTGGCTGGGTTTTCTTCACATCCTGTTTCATAAACTGCAGGTTGGGTAGGTTCACCTGTAAGTGCCAATTGAATTCCCTACCCACATCCCTGCAGGCCAATTCATTTAGCAAAATCTATGTCTAGGCCTTGGTGCTGTGCCTACCAAACCCACAAGAATATTGGCTACCCTGGTTAAGGCTGTGTGTGTGTGTGTGTGTGTGTGTGTGTGTGTGTGTTGTAGAAACATTTCACACTTACACAACTTACTCTTCGTTTCTTGCTAAAGCCAGTCTGGATTTCTGCACAAGATCCTGTACCTCCTGCCTATTCTCTTCTATTTCATGAGTCATCGCTGCCCTCTTCTCCATGCCTTTGACTTCATTCTGCAAGGTCTATATTGTGGTGGAACGACAAAGACAGCCATTAGGACATTCCAGCAGGAGGGAAGCATAGCTGTGAGCAAAGCCGGTTTGCGCTATTTTGTCTTAACTGGGGTGACAGAACATATCTTGAGTTTGTGTTTATGTGCATACATTTGACACACCATAGATTTAACACACACACACACACCATTGAATCCTGGGAACTGTAGTTTTGCCCTTCTCTGAGCTACAATTCCCAGCAGCCCTTTTACAATTGTGGTTACAAGAATTTGGGGAGGGGGCTACTTTAAATGTGTGGTGTGTACACTGCCTATGATTCATGTCGCTGCATAAAGGCCAATTACAAATACTGAGCAACATCCAGTACGGGAGAACAATACACAGGCCAGATCCAAATTTACATCAGAATGAGTAATCTGTAATCTGAACTACAGGTGAGGGATAGAATGCTCCCCTGAGTTAGAAACGTCTTAGAAGAAGAAAAATCTAACTCAGCTCTTTGCCTGCTTTTTATACACCTTTAAGCACCAGGCAAAAACTTTCCTCCTCAAGCAGGACTTTGGCTGATTGACATCCAATGCCCTTTCAAATATGCTTTGGAAAGGGGAAATTATTGGTTTGTTTCTGTTCTTATTTTTATTATGTATTATACACACACACACACACACACACACACACACACACACACATACTGAAGTTAATGTTGTGAACCACTCTGAGATCTATGGGTACAGGTCGGTATACAAGTTTAATAAATAAAATAAAATAAGTTCATTCTACTGCAAGTGCTAAGGAGGCCTAATAGAGCACACACAGAAGGCTAACCCAGCTATACCATGAGACGTAAGGGACACTTGAGTTCTGTGCTGCCTGAAACTGGGGACACATGTTATGTGAAGTGTGGATGGCAGAAAGTGCCATCTATTATGTTTACAACAAAGGAGCATTGGGACAGGCCCAGACAGGTTCATACATTGCATTATATTGAAAAACAAACAATGATTATTTTTTTACTCTGTACTGCATTGTAGGGAGAGATTCCAGCAGGATTAGCATGTAGAGTTCATATTCAATCTGTAAAGCCAAACAAGAAAGTTAAGTTAGACAATCAGATATCTACATAGCTTAGAGACGGCACTTAGGTGTTCTTTGTTCCCACACAGTGATTTTGGAAAGGTGGGACATCTCACTCCTTCCTGATCGTCAAATACATTTAAAATTTCCTATAAGGTGCGAAAGAACTTGATAAGCTAGTGGTCAACTGCAAAGGATACTCAGAGTTTTAATTTGTACATTTTATTTGGGAACTACCACTTATTCTATGTAGCAATGACTTTTAGTATGTTAGGCAGCCCTCCTTGCCTTCCTGCACTTCAAGAAAAGCCCAGCTCATGAGGTCATGCGGTTTGCAGGAAGTGTGAGAATTCAGGGAGGCTGCAGAAGGCAGACCGCCCAAAATATTATTTATAGAGTGAAAGGGGACTCATGAAACTCATTGGCCACATTGAAAGCAGGTTAAACACAATAAAAAAAACCTGCAGCCACCAATGGGAATTTCACTGAAATTTTCCCTTTCCTTTGATAATTCATAAATGCAGTTTCTTTTTTAATAAATTGTCCAAAGTTCAGCTTTCTTTTCTTTTCTTTTCTTTTCTTTTAGAGAAGGGGGGGATTTCCAGCACATTTACTAGAGAAAACATGCACATCCTTCATAGCATAACTTTGTACAAATGTCCCTTTGTATCCTGTGTTGTGATTGAGAGGTTGTGTGAGCTACATAGAGCCACAATGATGTTGTTAACTAAGCAACTGTTAGTTGAGAATGAATTAGGTGTTAAAGGCATCACAGGTGCCAAAGCAAGCCGCCAGGGGCTCGGGATATACAGTGGTACCTCAGGTTAAGTACTTAATTCGTTCTGGAGGTCCATTCTTAACCTGAAACTGTTCTTAACCTGAAGCACCACTTTAGCTAATGGGGCCTCCTGCTGCTGCTGCACCACCGGAGCCCGATTTCTGTTCTTATCCTGAAGCAAAGTTCTAAACCTGAAGCACTATTTCTGGGTTAGCGGAGTCTGTAACCTGAAGCGTATGTAACCTAAAACGTATGTAACCCGAGGTACCACTGTACTGCCTTAAATGTTAGGAACAGCACATACTTTCACTTCCTTCAGTATGTCACCAAATATCAAAGAACTGTTGCAGATATCTTCAAAAACGTCACCCACAGCCTGCAACCGGTTGAAATGAGGCCGACTGCAGTCGCAGATATTCCGTAGAGCCTGGAAAGGAAGAGAAGGAAATTCACAAGGTTTATTCAGATCTGATCCCTTTGGCATGCAGGCCAAATATAAATTTCAGACAAATCAGTTAAATCCCAAGCACTTCCAAACCAGTTTCTCTTCCAAATAGGGAAGAGGTGTAAGCCCCATCACAGATGGTGTTTTGGTTCATAGAAAGGCAAGCAAGTTCCTGAAGAGAACATTTGTACAATTTATATCCTGTAGTATCCAAAGATCATGTTACTTCTTCCAGGAACCCAACTTCTCCCTTGATGTGTATACTCCATGGTTGTTGTTCTTGTTGTTTTCTTTTAAAATACAACCAATAAAGTCCTTCATGCCCTGGGCAATACAAATTCAAAGCCAAGAAGGGC